ATATATATATATATATATAAAAAGAAGTTCCAGCACTTTCAACACTTCATATACAACACTGAGTCTCCCGTTCTAGTTAATAAGGGTCATTTCAGTGTGCAGATTAGGATGCAGTCCCTCCAATATTTTTCAGTGGTAGATTATGGTGTATTTAACTCACCTGTGCTTCAGGGAGTACAGTTTAGAGATTTCGAGAGGTTCCATTATTTTATGTTTCACCGAACTGATATTCTGCAGAACTGCAGTTTTGCCTGCTTTAAATGGGGGTTGTTAATACTATATATGTCAATATTAATCTAGAGAGTTATTATTATTAGTAGTAGTATTACTGTGGTGGAAGCGCTAAACCTGTTGTAATATGGCTCGTATGATTGATGACCATAACGTGACTTTATGACATCTTTGTCCAGTACTTTATATTTTTATAATACACCCACAGACTATCGAATGACCGACAAAATGGCGAACACAGATACCAGCGTCATGTGACTTGCCTTATATGGGCCAGCAGGCCTGCTGAGGTGCTCCTTTCTTATGTTCTATATTTTTTTTAGATTGCTTTACTGCCACCTATGTGGAGTAGGGCTATATCAGGGATTTTTTAGTTTATTTAATGATGTTAGTGGCGTAATTATCTTCATAGGATTTATTTATATTAATAAGGGGGAATCAATAAACCCGTAGGGGTCATATAGTGTCTGGGGAATGGAAGACATTCAGGTACGATTCCAGGAAGGTGAGACACCTTCCTTTTGGGATGTCATCATAGGAAGTTAAAGTTCTGTGATACTTCGTAATTTTTTGTGTATGTAGAGTTCCATGAATTTGGGCCTGGCGTAAAACACTGAATATGCTAAAAATAGCACTTGTAATTATTATAATTATGGGAAGCACTAAACCCATAGGGGTCACACAACGTCTAGGAATAAGAGAAAATCTAAGCATTAAGTGGTAAACAACACTGACAAGCTGATGTATAAGACACGTTCTACTCTTGAATATTTTTATTGTCGAAGTGTTGTACGTGTCTTTTTCATTAAGTACTCAAGTTTGAGCCAAGGAAAGAAGGGGTAGCTCCAGTTCCTTAGAAATGTTTTGCTTGTGCAGTAGGCTTTATCAGTCTAATATAGCGGCACGAGGAAGAACACTGGAGTCAGAGGAGAGGTGCAGCAGTTAAAGATATTGTCACATGTCGGCAGGGTCCACCAGTGGACGAAAGCAATGCTTTTAATAAGCTTGCTGTGCAAATGAAACGTCTCCCAGTAAAGATACCCAGGTGTTTCACATGTCTTATTCAATAGTTTGTAGGTATTATACCTATGATCTAATGACACTTGTCTGACACAGTGATACCACGAAATCTTGGTAAAGAGAATAACTCCTACAAGTTCACTGCTAACCTGTGGGCCTGACTTACTTCCATCAAAACATCAGTTATATTCATGGGGAAGTGCTAAACCTGTGAAGGTCAAAGCACCTCACGAATGGGAGGTAATAAGACTTAATCAAAGGTAGGGAAGGGCAGCTCCAATTTCTTGGATCAAGATCCCTTAAGCATATTATAATCATAAAAGCGCTAAATCTGTATTGGTCATTAAGCTCCTGCCTGAGCATATTAATATCAAAATCAACTTAGCGTTTAACCTGAAAAGGTCACATAGTGCTGCTTGTGTGAGCATAAAAATGCCCTAAATCTGAATGGAAATTTCCGCTTCTCCATCCCTGCCCACTCCAGGGGCTGTCTCCTTGATACTGGTGACAAGCTCTTGATCAAAGGTATGGAAGCTATTCTACCCTTCCTCAGATCAAACCTGATTGCCCCCTATCCTTCAGGTGCTTTATAAACGCACATTATTTTTATTATAATCAAAGTCAAGCGTTAACCCCACAAGTGTCATACAGCACTGCTTTCCCTGATTATACTGTAGTAGTAATTCACACTATACAGGGGTGCGCTAAACCCGTCGGATTATGCAGCACCTGTAGGGGGATGTGGAAGGTATTCAAGCTTAATTCAGGGAACCGGAACTCAGATCCAATTCCCTAGATCAAGATTATTATTATTTTTTAACAAGTCGGCCGTCTCCCACCAAGGCAGGGTGACCCAAAAAAGAAAGAAAATCCCCAAAAAGAAAATACTTTCATCATTCAACACTCACCACACTCGCACATTATCACTGTTTTTGCAGAGGTGCTCAGAAACATATCCCTCCAAACTGCCAATATCCCAAACCCCTCCTTTAAAGTGCAGGCATTGTACTTCCCATTTCCAGGACTCAAGTCCGACTATATGAAAATAACCGGTTTCCCTGAATCCCTTCACTAAATATTACCCTGCTCACACTCCAACAGATTGTCAGGTCCCAAGTATCATTCGTCTCCATTCACTCCTATCTAACACGCTCATGCACGCTTGCTGGAAGTCCAAGCCCCTCGCCCACAAAACCTCCTTTACCCCCTCTTTCCAACCCTTTCGAGGACGACCCCTACCCCTCTTTCCTTCCCCTATAGATTTATATGCTTTCCATGTCATTCTACTTTGATCCATTCTCTCTAAATGACCAAACCACCTCAACAACCCCTCTTCTGCCCTCTGACTAATGATTTTATTAACTCCACACCTTCTCCTAATTTCCACACTCCGAATTTTCTGCATAATATTTACACCACACATTGCCCTTAGACAGGACATCTCCACTGCCTCCAACCGTCTCCTCGCTGCTGCATTTACCACCCAAGCTTCACATCCATATAAGTGTTGGTACTACTATACTTTCATACATTCCCTTCTTTGCCTCCATAGATAACGTTTTTTGACTCCACATATACCTCAACGCACCACTCACCTTTTTTCCCTCATCAATTCTATGATTAACCTCATCCTTCATAAATCCATCCGCCGACACGTCAACTCCCAAGTGTCTGAAAACATTCACTTCTTCCATACTACTTCCCCCCAATTTGATATCCAATTTTTCTTTATCTAAATCATTTGATACCTCATCACCTTACTTTTTTTCTATGTTCACTTTCAACTTTCTACCTTTACACACATTCTCAAACTCATCCACTAACCTTTGCAATTTTTCTTTAGAATCTCCCATAGGCACAGTATCATCAGCAAAAAGTAACTGTGTCAATTCCCATTTTGAATTTGATTCCCCATAATTTAATCCCACCCCTCTTCCGAACACCCTAGCATTTACTTCTTTTACAACCCCATCTATAAATATATTACACAACCATGGTGACATCCCTGTCTAAGACCTACTTTTACCGGGAAGTATTCTCCCTCTCTTCTACACACCCTAACCTGAGCCTCACTATCCTCATAAAAGCTCTTTACAGCATTTAGTTATTATTATTATTATAATCAAAAAGAAGCGCTAAGCCACAAGGGCTATACAGCGCTACAGCATTTAGTAACTTACCACCTATTCCATATACTTGCAACATCTGCCACATTGCTCCCCTATCCACTCTATCATATGCCTTTTCTAAATCCATAAATGCAATAAAAACTTCCCTACCTTTATCTAAATACTGTTCACATATATGCTTCAATGTAAACACTTGATCTACACATCCCCTACCCACTCTGAAGCCTCCCTGCTCATCTGCAATTCTACATTCTGTCTTACCTCTAATTCTTTCAATTATAACTCTACCGTATACTTTTCCTGGTATACTCAGTAAACTTATTCCTCTATAATTTTTACAATCTCTTTATTATAATATTATTATAATCATTATTATTATTATTATAATCAAAAAGAAGCGCTAAGCCACAAGGACTATACAGCATTATTATAATCAAAAAGAAGTGCTAAGCCACAAGGACTATACAGCAACCTAGATCAAGATTATTATTATTATAATCAAGGGGAAAACCTAGATCAAGAGCCCCTCACCATTATGGCTTTTTTTTTTTTTTTTTTTTTTTTTTAGATTAATAAAATATGGCAAGATGTTGGACCGAAAAGTCGTCTTTAACCTCCTGTCTCTTATGTGCAGGTTTTGTATTGTTCCAGTCACAGTATTTGACTTTTAGTTCTTGATGCAATATACTTGACCTGAAACTAGCGAGGGTGGAGAGTATAACGGGGGTAATGTGTGTAAGGGAGGTGAGGAGTGCTAAAGGAAGTATAATTACAGGTTGTGTAATAAATCTAGTCAAAACGTCAAAGAGGGAGTGTGTCAAAGATGAGGCCGTCAACTAGAAGGGAAGAACAGCAATAAGGAACCTTCCTTGAATTATTATAATCAAAAAGAAGCGCTAAGCCACAAGGGCTATACAGCACTAACCTTCCTTGAAGTCAAAGGATGACAAAGAGGGTGCATAAACCCCAGATGGAAGGTTGAGGGGGTAGGGCTCATTCCAGAAATGGTAGTTAGGAGTAAAAAGGGGCTTCGATCATTCAAGCAGGCTTGAGCGAGCTTGTCAGATACTACTCATGGGGAAACCATACCACGGACGGGGATAGAACCCGCGATCAGTCTCAAAACTCCAGACCGCGACGGTCTGGAGTTTTGAGACTCTGATTGCAGGTTCTATCCCCGTCTGTGCTATGGTTTGTTTGCAATCGTGTCATTACGATTTCGTGAGTCACGTACTCATGGGGAGTACTAAACTCAAAGAGGTTGTATAGTGCCTCGTTGGATGGGAGGCATTTAGGTTCTGTCCCAGAACAGGTTCAATTTCTTGGATCAAAACCACTCGGTAGCATCCAGGAACCTCCCTTGAGGGTTACTTTTTTGAAGGGATTCAGGGAAAGCTAGTTAACCAAATGAAAGCTTCTATAAAGGGATTCAAGAAAGTGACTAACCAGACTTGGGAAAGGCAGTGTTTGCAATGAAAGGGTGAGGATGTTGCAGTCCTAGGGTAATTTGAATTGTGATGTCAACACATATTTGCAAGACAGCAATATGAATAATGGTGCATCTGTTGATCCTCTAGTCACCTTGCCCTGACAGGAGACTGCCACTGGGAAAAAAAGACATTTAACTACTTGGGATTTGTTAAAAAAGTTTATTAATACAATATTATTTGACAGAATTTAATTAAAGAAAACATGACAGGTACCCAAATTCGTTTGATCTGAAATATTCACTTGTGATTGCCACTTTCAGTTAAACAAAAACTTAAGAGGTTAATCGCATTAAAAGCAGTTTGTTCTTGATGAAAGCATTTATTCAAACGAAAATTATATTTCAGAGCAGTGCTAGCATACAGTAATATAATAATTTTCAATATTGATCATTGCTTACACTATCATTGGTTAAGTTCCAGAGGTAATCAACTTTCAGCCTGCCACCTGTCCACTGGTTATTGTGCAAAAGTTAAGGGAAACCACTTTAAACAAGAAATATGAGAGTATGAAAAAAATTCATCACACTGCATTTGTTCTTTGCAGCTGTTCCTGCTAGCATGAAGAGTAAACTTTTAGGCGAGAGTGTCTTCTGCTGCCTTAACCAAGCTGGCCTGACTGTAGAGCTTGTTGGTATCCACTCTCTTTACTTGGTTCCTGTTCCAACTTGATCATGTCATCAATGCGGAGAATAGTTATGGCTGCTTCAGTAGCAAACTTTAATTGCTTTAACTTGCTCATTGCTGGTTCAAATACACCAGCCTTTCTGTTGTCTCGCACCTGACCTGAGGACCGAAATGCAAGTGTTAGCACAATTAACAAAAATGTCATCGGTATGGTTTAAACTTAGTGGAAATCTGAAAATTACAAAATATTTTAGTATTTTTAACCCTTTGAGGGTTGGTCTTGTAGTACTACGGCTTCGAAGCCTGAGTCGATCCCATAGTTCTATGCCATGAGCTCAGCTTACTCAGATAAGCTGCGAGTGGTAAATTTGGGCCTAGATATGAGAATGGGTCTTTGTGGTAAGTGCACCATAAAAAAAAATTCCTGCAGCATAATGGATTAAAACAGCAACTTTGCAGTATATTTTTGTATGGCTTTTATTGTCATTCTTGGTTTCTTGATCTCATATGACAGAATGGAAGATACATTACAAAAATTGATTGGTTTTAGGACTGAAAGTAAATTCAAATTAAGCTCAAAACAGCAGAAATGTTCGATTTTTGTAGATATTCCAAAATACACAGATTACGTCACTCATCCAATTGGTCAGTCTAATATGTGAAAACAAATGTACTGACATTATTTATACAGTTTTTACAATAATGCAGTAGTCTGCATAACAGTAAACCTTTTTTGTGAATAAAAATTCAAAATGGAAAGCAAGCGTAATACAGGAGGCCTGAGAACGTGACTAATGAACAGAAGAAATGTTTTAGTGCCAGGAATGTTTTACACTGTTTATTCTGGACCCTATTTTGAAACTGACAATTTTTTAATTGTGTGAGAAATTGGCCAAATTACAAAATTCTGATCACTTTATCAGGTAGCTGAATTAGGTAAATGGGAGGTTTCTTGTACTCTGATAAAGAGAATACTATCAAAATAGCTACGAGTTTGGTCAAGTGGAACAATGGAATTGGCCAAAAATAGGGCTCAAAGTGGGCGAAATCACCAATGCACAAATATCGTCGAGACCAGTAACTCTACGAGAGCATAATTCCCCAAGTTCTTCATCAAATTTCATACTTCTGGTTTCATTACTTTTGGAAAAAGATTACCATTTAACAATTTTTTTTTTTAAATTCTCCGACCCTGAGAGAAAGTTTCAGATCAAGGGTTCCAACCCTCGAAGGGTTAAGAGAAACCAAATACATACATACAGTACTCTTTAAAATACTTAAGTCTAAATAAACTTGGCCAGAATACAGAAGCAGAATTCTCAAAATCCTGTTCACAAAATTTCCAGTACATTTTAGACATTTTATTCACACCGACCCATAGGCATTCTCACCAAAACACTTGTGCAACTCACCTTCCATTAGGTCCAAGCCATAATATTTAAGCTGTGAATGTTCAGTTTTGACCTGTGAGGAATGATGGTATGCTCGCAGTTTGGGTACTAGATCTGTGGCATCTTTGGCAGCATTCACAGCCAGGGTATTGGGAATTACCAACAGAGATTGTGCAAATGCACCAATTGCCAGTTGTTCTCTTGAGCTCTGTACAAAAAAAAAATATATTTAATATTTTTGTATTCCAGTAATTATAATGTTTGATTTCCAGTGCCAGCTAAACTAAAATTTTCCAGGTGTAATGTGTTGCAAATGAAATTTTCTTTTTTTTTTGGAGCTCTGAATATCCCATGCCACAGTCTCTCTCATGAGAGAAACTGGTAAGAGTCAGTCATGAATAGGACAGGTTCTATGCCTTTCCCACTTTCTTCCACTCACCCACAGTAAAATAATGAAAATAAGAATATGGGAGATTAGTCAGGAAGAAAATGGGGGTTTTGGGTGGCAGGTGGGGATTGGAAGGACTCTTACAGCTGAGCATTTATGAAGGGATTCAGAGCAATTGGTTAGCCAGACTCGAGTCCTAAAGAAGGGAAGTACAGTGCCAACATTCTGAAGGAGAAGTGGGGATATTGTAGCTTGGAGGGGAACCCAAGCTGTAATGTCAGCACACCTCTGGGAAGACAATGATATTGAGGTGAATGAGTTTCTTTATTCTGGGTCATCCTACCTTGTTGGGAGACAGCCAAGGTGTTTAAAAAAAAAAATATTCTGATAGTGAATTGGTCTCTGTAATCGTAGACATATGGCTGCACCAACAGATGGAGTGCAGGCTACTATGGGCTTGAGCCACTAGAAGTGGAAATTATAATTGTAAATACTGTACATCTACCAATTACAGGTCATGCAGGTACCACTGATCCATAATCAATAGGTTAATTTTTTTTTATTTCTGTACCACCGTTAACCCTTAAACTGTCCAAATGTAGATATACGTTGACGTGCAGCAGGCTCCGAAAGTAGATCTATGTTTTTTTTACATGCTTTCAAAGGGGGAAAACCAAGGTCGGAGCGCTACGCACGTGAACGTAGATCTACATTTGGACAGTTTAAGGGTTAAATATAACTACTACATCACACATTTAAAAAACCAAGCAAAGTGAAGAAATTAAAAAAAAAATGTCAATTAAGGTTTAAATGGCAAACACACTTGCTATGGAGACACAAGCAAGAGGCTTAAATTTTTGAGAAAAAATTCATCATTTCTATGAAATAGCTGACAAGTTAAAATTTGTTATTATATGGGTGTGAAGCTTGGTTGTAAATGCTGCAGCGAGAAGGCGTTTGGAGGCGGTGGAGATGTCCTGTCTAAGGGCAATGTGTGGTGTGAATATTATGCAGAAATTTCAGAGTATAGAAATTAGGAGAAGGTATGGAGTTAATAAAAGTATTAGTCAGAGGGCTGAAGAGGAGTTGTTGAGGTGGTTTGGTCATATAGAGAATGGATCAAAGTAGAATGATATGGAGAGCGTATAAATCTGTAGGGGAAACAAGGCGGGGTAGGGGTCGTCCTCGAAAAGGTTGGAGGGAGGGGGTAAAGGTTTTGTGGGCGAGGGGCTTGGACTTACAGCAAGCGTGTGTGAGCGTGTTAGATAGGAGTGAATGGAGACAAATGGTATTTGGGACCTGACAAGCTGTTGAAGTGTGAACAGGGTAATATTTAGTGAAGGGATTCGGGGCAACCAGCTATTTTTATATAGCCGGACTTGAGTCCTGGAAATGGGAAGTACAATGCCTGCAGGGCAGGGTTTGGGATATTGGCAGCTTGGAGGGATATGTTGTGTATCTTTATACGTATATGCTTCTAAACTGTTGTATTCTGAGCATCTCTGCAAAAACAGTGATTATGTGTGAGGTGAAAGTGTTGAATGATGATTAAAGTATTTTCTTTCTTTTTTTGGGTTACCCTGCCTCGGTGGGAGACGGCCAACTTGTTAAAAAAAAAAAAAAAATAGGGGGATAATGGGGAAAGCTGTGAAAGCTAACTCACCAGGCTAGTGGCAAAGCTCTCAAGATAAACTGAGAGTGCAGCCTCCACAGCACCACCCCCACAGACAATGGCATTACTTTCGAGTACTCTCTTCACCACACATAATGCATCATGGACGGACCTCTCCATCTCATCACAATAGAAGTCATTGGGACCCCGAAGAATAATAGAACTGGCAGAGCGAACACTTGGTCTATGGAATAAGAATGTAATGAGGAACAAACATAAAATAAACACCAGAAAGGTTTTATTACTGGTAACTTTAACAAAAGTGGATTTCAGTAATGAGCTTCACAAAAGTAAATTTACTACACTACATAAAAAATCTGAGGACTTACTTAATAAATATTTAACCAAATATATTTACAAAGAATAGCATTAAAATTATGTACACCAATATACAGGAGTGCCCTGCTTTACAGTGCTTTGCTTTATGGTGTTTTGCTAATACAGCTGTTTTCAATTATGTACTATATCCATTCTTCATTTATTCGGACTTCCTACAATAAAGATACACACCACTTGCTTTAAGTTAAGGACAAAAATATTTTAAGTAATGTGTATACAGTATTTACATTTTTTAGGCCCAGCTCTGTTGCTCACTTAATACATGATAGTGTAAACATGTTATCAGGCTTTTATATGCATTAGAAAGTGAAAAAAAGCTATGATTCACTTTACAGCAATTTTTGCTTTATAGCAGTAGTCTGGAACCTAACCTGCTGTACAAGCAGGGCCTTCCTGTAAGAAGTGTTTTGCTGACTGGTAAGAAATACTGTTAGTAATCAGAAATCATGTAAAAAATTCACAGGGAAACTCCCTTATAGAGTAAAAGAGGAAAAAGTATCAGACATTAAAAAAGTAAGAGATTTTAAATAATTCACCCTTTAATTAGAATGAGTTCATCGTCACAAATGTGTTCCTGAGAGATTTCAGCAGCTTCACCAAGGTAGCTTGCATCAAATGATTCTTCACCTTCCAAATTGCACATCGTAGTTAGGAAAGTTGCACCTGTAGCTTTTGCTATTCTCTGTAACGAGAAAAATAGCACATGACTAATCTTTGTACAAATGTGCCAAGAGCTTTTGCTTTAATATACATGGAGATGGGTTACACCTGTAAGGGACATAGAGCTCCTGGGAGGGGAGTGTGTCATCAGTTTGACTTGAGAAAGAGAAGAGTAGCTCCAATTCCTTAGAACAAGAATCATTCTTAAGCATGTAGGTACACCCTTCATGGAAAGAGTTGTAGTCTAGTGTTCCATAGCTACTGGATATCATACTTGTAGATAGAAAGGGTTAGTTTTATTCTTAACCTTATAACATGATCTGAACGACTGGCATATTTAGAAAAATATGCAAAATGTATTTTACAGCTTTTGAAATGCACACTAGTTATACTTTCACATAGTATTGTGCCAGTAAATACAGGATTTCACATACGAGGTAAATCCATAAAGGCAAACTAGTTTACAATATGAAAATATAATACCAAAACAAATATTTTTTTTTTTTCCAACAAGTCGGGCGTCTCCCACCGAGGCAGGGTGACCCAAAAAAGAAAGAAAATCCCCAAAAAGAAAATGCTTTCATTATCACTCAACACTTTCACCACACTCACACATTATCACTGTTTTTGCAGAGGTGCTCAGAATACAACAGTTTAGAAGCATATACGTATAAAGATACACAACATATCCCTCCAAACTGCCAATATCCCAAACCCCTCCTTTAAAGTGCAGGCATTGTACTTCCCATTTCCAGGACTCAAGTCTGACTATATGAAAATAACCAGTTTCCCTGAATCCCTTCACTAAATATTACCCTGCTCACACTCCAACAGATCTTCAGGTCCCAAGTACCATTCGTCTCCATTCACTCCTATCTAACACGCTCACGCACGCTTGCTGGAAGTCCAAGCCCCTCGTCCACAAAACCTCCTTTACCCCCTCTCTCCAACCCTTTCAAGGACGACCCCTACCTCGCCTTCCTTCCCCTATAGATTTATATGCTTTCCATGTCATTCTACTTTGATCCATTCTCTCTAAATGACCAAACCACCTCAACAACCCCTCTTCTGCCCTCTGACTAATACTTTTATTAACTCCACACCTTTTCCTAATTTCCACACTCCAAATTTTCTGCATAATATTTACACCACACATTGCCCTTAGACAGGACATCTCCACTGCCTCCAACCGTCTCCTCGCTGCTGCATTTGCCACCCAAGCTTCACACGCATATAAGAGTGTTGGTACTACTATACTTTCATACATTCCCTTCTTTGCCTCAATAGATAACGTTTTTTGACTCCACATATACCTCAACGCACCACTCACCTTTTTTCCCCTCATCAATTCTATGATTAACCTCATCCTTCATAAATCCATCCGCCGACACGTCAACTCCCAAGTATCTGAAAACATTCACTTCTTCCATACTCCTCCTCCCCAATTTGATACCCAATTTTTCTTTATCTAAATCATTTGATACCCTCATCACCTTACTCTTTTCTATGTTCACTTTCAACTTTCTACCTTTACACACATTCTCAAACTCATCCACTAACCTTTGCAATTTTTCTTTAGAATCTCCCATAAGCACAGTATCATCAGCAAAAAGTAACTGTGTCAACTCCCATTTTGAATTTGATTCCCATAATTTAATCCCACCCCTCTCCCGAACACCCTAGCATTTACTTCTTTTACAACCCCATCTATAAATATATTAAACAACCATGGTGACATTACACATCCCTGTCTAAGACCTACTTTTACCGGAAGTATTCTCCCTCTCTCTACACACCCTAACCTGAGCCTCACTATCCTCATAAAAACTCTTTACAGCATTTAGTAACTTACCACCTATTCCATATACTTGCAACATCTGCCACATTGCTCCTCTATCCACTCTATCATATGCCTTTTCTAAATCCATAAATGCAATAAAAACTTCCCTACCTTTATCTAAATACTTTTCACATATATGCTTCAATGTAAACACTTGATCTACACATCCCCTACCCACTCTGAAACCTCCTTGCTCATCCGCAATCCTACATTCTGCCTTACCTCTAATTCTTTCAATTATAACCCTACCGGTATACTCAGTAAACTTATTCCTCTATAATTTTTACAATCTCTTTTGTCCCCTTTCCCTTTATATAAAGGAACTATACATGCTCTCTGCCAATCCCTAGGTGCCTTCCCCTCTTTCATACATTTATTAAACAAAAGTACCAACCACTCCAACACTATATCCCCCCCTGCCTTTAACATTTCTGTCATGATCCCATCAGTTCCAGCTGCTTTACGCCCTTTCATTCTACGTAATCCCTCACGTACCTCCCCCACACTTACATTCTGCTCTTCTTCACTCCTAAAAGATGGTATACCTCCCTGGCCAGTGCATGAAATTACCGCCTCCCTTTCTTCCTCAACATTTAAAAGTTCCTCAAAATATTCTCGCCATCTACCTAATACCTCTATCTCCCCATCTACTAACTCCCCTACTATGTTTTTAACTGACAAATCCATACTTTCCCTAGGCTTTCTTAACTTGTTTAACTCCAATTTTTTTCTTATTTTCATTTAAATTTCTTGACAGTGCCTCTCCCACTCTATCATCTGCTCTCCTTTTGCACTCTCTCACCACTCTCTTCACCTTTCTTTTACCCTCCATATACTCTGCTCTTCTTATAACACTTCTGCTTTGTAAAAACCTCTCGTAAGCTACCTTTTTCTCTTTTATCACACCCTTTACTTCATCATTCCACCTATCACTCCTCTTTCCTCCTGCCCCCACCCTCCTATAACCACAAACTTCTGCCCCACATTCTAATACTGCATTTTTAAAACTATTCCAACCCTCTTCAACCCCCCCCACTACTCATCTTTGCACTAGCCCACTAAGAGGAATGCCAAATTATTTTAACTAAGGACCTGGCCTCTTAAAAGTCAAAGTGTTTGTGTGCCTTAATCAACTAATTTGAATATAAAGATATACTAGCAGACCCATACCTTAAGATCTGATTTTTTGCAACGTCTGACAGCCATAGCACCAGCCTCAACGAAGTATTTTAAACAAAGATCATCAATACCACCTGTGGTTAAGATCACATTGGCGCCAGTTTTCAAAATTTTTTCAATACGTTCCTGAAATAAACAAAACGTTATATTAAATTTTTTATAATGCTCATTAACACAGTAGCAAAATATGGTTTGGCTGCATTAAGGCAATTTTACAAGATAACCCCAGTATACCTCAACACATTAGTTTATGAAACAATCTTGAAAGGAAAATTCCTTTCTCTTCTCTGTTTTTCTCTCTTCTATCCATGTTTCAGCACTACTGAGGCCTCCATACCTCAACTATTTTGTTGAGGTACAAGGGCTCAGTATCAGAACTGTGTAATATGTAATGTGTGATTACTTATGTATTTACAGCAGCAGCAAAATTCTGATGCTCTCCTCTTTAGTATTTAGGCTGCTATAATCAGGGCCGGATTACCGCATAGGCAAACGAGGCATTTGCCTAGGGCCCCGCGCATTTGGGGGCCCCACGGTTTAAGGGGTTCAGGGGCTCATCCAAGACTGCACACATGGTGCAAGTGCAAAGGGGTCCCTATCTAAAAAGTTCAAGTTTTTGGAGAGTAAAATTGATTTTTAAAAATTAATCAAAACAAAAATAATGAAATAAAATAAAATAAAAATAAATAAACCTAACCATAGATGGCAACACTCAACACGCCTTTGTTTACATCAGAACAGCTGTGTTTTCCCGCTAATGGGTGAGTATGGGAGATTCCTATCCAATTTTCTGTAGTAATTACACATTATCTAGACTTGTACTGTGACAAATTAACTGAAGTGTTGTTGATAGACATTGATGTGTATGGATAAATGTTTGTTTTCACCTCTAAATGTTAAGGGAGGTACCTGATAGGGTTACTTGACCAGTAAAGATGCATGGACCAGTAAAGACGCATTTTTGGTAAAATTACTATAAAGAAAAACCTAAACACGCAAACTGACTTCCGTTTGTAGGTTTTAAAAGCACTTTGTCCTGTCTTTAAGTCTTTATCATTTCAATAACAGATCTCAATTGATTGATGTTGTACATCACTTCCGTCGCAAATGCTTAGTTTTCAAGTTGCGACGGAAGTGATGTAGAACATCAATTAATTTACTACATATTTCCCCAGAAACACATAAGCCACATCAGAAAATTGTTAGTTGGGTGAAACTGAAAATTGTCCCTGCATTCTTTAATTCTCATGCCCTTATCTATGGTGGTAGGCCATATATCATGTAAAACATAATTAGTTTAGTTATGAAAATGGTAATATAAATACCATTGTGCATTGTTCTTGGACTCAGTATGATTTCTGTTTAAGTAAATTGGAGATCAAGGAGGATGAATTAGTAAAATATTCGTAGCCCAAATCACTAACCTAATCTATGGTAAAAGTTCTGTATATGACTCCTCTCTGGTAACGTTTTGAATTTTTCGATGCGCAGCCAGAGGAAAGGGGGCTACAAGGGCCATATCCGCCCAATTGACAGAAAAAAAAAATTAATAATAATTGATAATGAAAAATTTGTATTTGCATGATTACAGACAGTGATACATCCTCATTATGGCATCTCGTGAACGTGATGTTGGACATTCTTATGCGAGTGGGTCACAGAAAAAAAAGAAGAAAATTCAAGAAGAACAGAAAAAGAAAGATGTAGGAAGCTGCAGAAAGATCACAGACATGCTCACTAAAACAGTTTCTGATGTCATTAGTACAGTTGAATCTGCAGATACGTCAGATCATACAGGAAGCCCTCCCTCCATTATTTCTCAGCCAGCATCTACTTCTTTTGTGTCTCCTCTCAATGTCTCAACGGACATTTCATCCACAGGATTTGTCTTAAAAGATCCTGCCTCATGGCCAAATGTAATCCCAGATTCTCTACGTAATGCCTTCATTGCAGAAAACTTCAGTCAAACTCTGAACATTGACTTTAGGAAATCAGCAAGGATTTATGATGATGGAAGTCGTCGTTGTTTAAAGTCATCTATGTTTTATAGGAAGCTTGCAAATTCAGAAACTGTGAAAGGATCATGGATGGTATACTCTGAAAGCTCAGGAAAAGTGTACTGTTCAGCATGCAAGCTATTTTCTACCAAAGAAAATACCTTCACACAGGGGTTCAATGACTGGAAAAATTCCAAGCATTTCGAGGAACATGAAAACAGCACCACTCACAGGAGCTCCACTTTAGCCAGTGTATTTCGTGCACAGAAAAAAGGCTTATTGGTTTCTCATTTGGAAAATCAAACTGAAAAAGAGCGCACTTACTGGAGAAAAGTTCTAGAAAGAGTTGTTGCTGTTGTAAAATTCTTAGCTCTAAGAGGACTTGCTTTCTGTGGAGAAAATGAGGTTTTTGGTTCGGAAAACAATGGCAATTTCCTAGGGATCATAGAACTGTTAGCACAATTCGATCCATTCTTAGCAAATCATGTGTCACGCCTTGGGAATGCAGGAAGAGGCACTGTATCTTACATGTCATCTACTATATGCAATGAATTTATTGAACTGATGACTAAGAAGGTCCTCAATAACATCATAGCAGCTGTGAAAACTGCAAAATACTTTGCAATAAGTGTAGATTCAACACCAGATATTTCACATACAGATCAATTGACATTCATTGTTCGCTTTGTCGACTCCAGTGGTAAGCCTGTAGAGTGCTTTATAAAATTCATTCCTCTTTCAGGCCATGATGGAGAAACAATGATGAATGTAGTACTGGATACTCTGCTTGAACATGATCTCTCTATTATGGATTGCCGTGGCCAGAGCTACGACAATGCAAGTAACATGTTGGGTAAATATAATGGATTGCAAGCCCGTATCAAGCAAATTAATCCACTTGCTGAATATGTGCCCTGCTCAGCATATTCTCTTAATCTTGTTGGGTCATGTGCTGCGGAGCGTTGTGTCGCTGCAGTTTCATTTTTTGGACTTTTACAAGCACTCTTTAATTTTTTCTCTGCTTCAACACATCAGTGGAGTATACTCAAGTCAACCATTCATGGAGATGTCATCAAATCATTATCAACAACAAGGTGGTCAGCGTAGCATGATGCAACACATGCTTTGAAAGACAGCTTTGCTGAAATACGTTCTGCTTTGATCCAAATAGCAGAGGATGAAGACCAGACAGCAACTACAAGAAGCGAAGCAGCCAGCTTAGCATCAAAATTGGAAGATTTTGAATTGGCCTTACTCTGTGTGCTTTGGGACTGTATACTGGAACGGTTAAATGCCACGAACAAGACACTTCAGAAAATTGAAATTGAAATGGCTACTTGTGCTAACCTCTATGCAGGCTTAGTGGAATTTGTAAGCTCACTTCGCAATGATGAAGCTTTTGAAATGTTTGAAGAGAAAGCTAAACTGCTGGTGAAAGACTACAGTTACCGGGCAGATCATCAGCGGTCAAGGAAGAGGAAACGCAATTTTGAAGAGCCAGACCATGAAATTGTGTTGCTACCAAGGCAGAAATGTAAGACAGCTACATACTTCGTCATTCTGGATTCACTGATTACAGAATTGGTGAAAAGAAAAGAAATCTACCAGAATCTCAATGAAAAGTTTGGATTTCTGTTCAAAATTACTACTATGCCAGATGCAGAATTGAGAGAAGCTGCATTAAAGTTGCAACAACACCTTTCAGCAGATGTTCAGGACATTTGTTGAAGAAATAGTTCATTTTTCTGGGTATATGAATCAGATTAAAGATCCACCTGAAAAATGTGTGCCCTCAGCTGCTTTGAAACATTTAAGAAATGCAGGTATCTCAGAAACCTTCCCTAATGTTGACATAGTGTATCGCCTTTACCTAACACTTCCAGCTACTAACTGTGAAGGAGAATGTTCATTTTCTGTTTTGAAGAGTGAAAAACCAGCTCCGTTCAACAATGAGCCAAGACAAATTGTGTAACCTAGCCTTGTTGACCATTGAGTCTGATCTAACAAGAAATATTGATTTTCAGAATATAATTGATGATTTTGCCAATATGAAATCCAGAAAAAAGTTTATTTAAGAAGTGCCTGTGAATATAAACAATTCTTTACTTTCTTGAGTTTATATGATTTGATAATCTTATGCATGATACAATGATAACAATAATGGTCAGTGATTTATAAAGGGAATAATAGTGCTGTAGTGGTTATGCTGAATATAATAGGTACATGATGTCACTACTTTAATAGCCTAATCTAGTAATACTGTGCTGTCTTGAGTTTATTCTCTTTAAAATGCATGATTTAACAAGATAGTTATAATGGCTGTTGGTAAATGGTTTTGGTGTCTTGATGTACTTTCCCTATTAAAATTTAATCTAAATAGCCAGAATGTATTAATTAGACCTTAAACAGGCCAGCTCACACCGACCCCCCCCCACCCCCAAGCTGGAAGGGGTCGCTTCGCTTACCCGTAACTCAAAGGGGCCCTGCCAATCTGAATAGCCTAGGGCCCGGAGACTTCTTAATCCGGCCCTGGCTATAATATATTAACCCTTTGAGGGTCCAAGCCATAGTTCTACGTTATGAGCTCAGCTCGCTCAGAAAGCTGTAAGCGGTAAATTTGGGCCTAGATATGAGAGAATGTATCCATATAGTAAGTGTGCACCATATAAAACAAATTCTGCAGCACGAAGTCATAACGAGAAAAAAAAATGCAACCATGTTTTGGATTAAAACACCAACTGTGGTGTACTTTCGTATGGTTTTTACAGTTGTATTCGCAGTTTCTTGGTCTCATTTAATAGAATGGAAGATATATTACAGAAATAGAGATGATTTTGATTGGTTTTAGTGCTGAAAACAGCCTGAAATATGAACTCAAAGTAGCAAAAATGCTCGATTTTTGCCGATGTTCAAGAGTAAACAAATGATGTCGTGTCCAATTCACATCAACTGGTGGGTCTAATAATATGTTCATGAATGCACTGATATTACTTATACAATTATTACAATATTCCATAACAGTAAATCTTCAATTTTTTGGTGTAAAAATTCTTTATGTAAATAAAAAATCAAAATGAAATTCATCTGTAAAGCCTGGAAATGTAACTAATAAACAGAGGAAATGTTATTTTAGTGCCAGGAATGCATGCATTGTTAATTCTGGACCCTATTTTAAAACTGGAATATTTTGAACTCTGTGAAATTGGCCAAATTACCAATTTCTGATCATTTTATTGGATAACTGAAATAATTGATTGGGTAGTTTCTTGTGCTCAATAAAACAAAGTAATACTAGTGAAATAGCTAAGAATTTGATCAACTGGAATAATATAAGTGGTCTAAAACAGAAGTCAAAGTGGGGAAAAATCGCTGATGTGTAAATAATAGCTGATGCAGTAAAATTCAGCAGTGAAACTTCATCAGTTTTCCATCAAATTTCATACTTTTAGGCCCAGGATTGATGGGATAAAGATAGAAATGTTAAAAGCAGGTGGGATATAGTTTTTGGAGTGGTTGGTGCAATTATTTAATAAATGTATGGAAGAGGGTAAGGTACCTAGGGATTGGCAGAGAGCATGCATAGTTCCTTCAAATAAAGGCAAAGGGGACAAAAGAGAGTGCAAAAATTATAGGGGGATACGTCTGTTGAGTATACCTGGTAAAGTGTATGGCAGAGTTATTATTGAAAGAATTAAGAGTAAGACGAAAATAGGATAGAAGATGAACAAGGAGGCTTTAGGAAAGGTAGGGGGTGTGTGGACCAGGTGTTTACAGTGAAATATATAAGTGAACAGTATTTAGATAAGGTAAAGAGGTCTTAGGCAAATGGATTTGGAAAAGGCGTATGCAAGGTGAGTGATAGGGGGAAATGTGGTATGTTGCAGTGTATGTGAGGAGTAGGTTTTTCTGAAAGAAGTGAGAGTTTTACGAGGATAGTGAGGCTCAAGTTAAGTTATGTGGAAAGAGGGAAATTATTTCCCAGTAAAAGTAGGCCTTAGACAAGGATGTGTGATGTCACGGTGGTTGTTTAATATATTTATAGCTGGGGTTGTAAGAGAAGTAAATGCGAGGGTCTTGGCAAGAGGCATGGAGTTAAAAGATAAAGAATCGCACAAAGTGGGAGTTGTCACAGTTGCTCTTTGCTGATGACACTGTGCTCTTGGGAGATTCTGAAGAGAAGTTGCAGAGATTGGTGGATGAATTTGGTAGGGTATGCAAAAGAAGAAAATTAAAAGTGAATACAGGAAAGAGTAAGGTTATGAGGATAACAAAAAGGTGATGAAAGATTGGATATCAGATTGGAGGGAGGAGTATGGAGGAGGCGAATGTATTCAGATATTTGGGAGTGGACGTGTCAGCAGATGGGTCTATGAAAGATGAGGTGAATCACAGAATTGATGAGGGGAAAAGGGTGAGTGGTGCACTTAGGAGTCTGTGGAGACAAGAACTTTGTCCTTGGAGGCAAAGAGGGGAATGTATGAGAGTATAGTTTTACCAACGCTCTTATATGGGTGTGAAGCATGGGTGATGAATGTTGCAGCGAGGAGAAGGCTAGAGGGCAATGTGTGGTGTGAATATAATGCAGAGAATTCGTAGTTTGGAAGTTAGGAGGAGGTGCGGGATTACCAAAACTGTTGTCCAGAGGGCTGAGGAAGGGTTGTTGAGGTGGTTCGGACATATAGAGAGAATGGAGCGAAACAGAATGACTTCAAGAGTGTATCAGTCTGTAGTGGAAGGAAGGTGGGGTAGGGGTCGGCCTAGGAAAGGTTGGAGGGAGGGGGTAAAGGAGGTTTTGTGTGCGAGGGGCTTGCACTTCCAGCAGGCATGTGTGAGCGTGTTTGATAGGAGTGAATGGAGACAAATGGTTTTTTTTAATACTTGATGTGCTGTTGGAGTGTGAGCAAAGTAACATTTATGAAGGGGTTCAGGGAAACCGGCAGGCCGGACTTGAGTCCTGGAGATAAGAAGTACAGTGCCTGCACTCTGAAGGAGGGGTGTTAATGTTGCAGTTTAAAAACTGTAGTGTAAAGCACCCTTCTGGCAAGACAGTGATGGAGTGAATGATGGTGAAAGTTTTTCTTTTTCGGGCCACCGTGCCTTGGTGGGAATCGGCCAGTGTGATGATAAAAAAAAAAAAAAAATACCTTTAGAAAAAGATTCTATACCATTTCATAAGAAAAAATAATTTTTTTTAATTCCTGAACCCTAAAAGGTTATTAAAATACTATACTTTAAATACTTTATAATAGAATCATGCAAGTGTACAAGAGAGGTACCAGTCAGCCACTTCCAACTTCAGTAGCCAAATTATACAACAGACTCTACTTATCCGTTTCCCTGTATCTTCATCTTTAAGAGTTCAAGAAACTGGATATAATACAGCTTATGTACACGAGGCATGTACAGTGTACATCACTTTCATGGTTCTTTGTTAACCCTTTCAGGGTTTCCGACGTATTAGCACGGCTTACGCACCAGGGTTATTGACGTACTAGAATGCCTAAATTCTAGCGCCTTCAAATCTAGTGAGAAAGCTGGTAGGCCTACATATGAATCAGAATGGGTCTATGTGGTCAGTGTGCACAGTATAAAGAAAATCCTGTAGCACACAGTGCATAATGAGAAAAAGAAAAAACTCCAACTGTGTTTTTGGTTTAAAACAGCAATTTTGCAGTGTATTTTCATATGATATTTATGGTTGTATTCTAGTTTTCCTGGTCTCATTTTATAGAATGGAAGAGATATTACAGAAATTGAGATGATTTTGATTGGTTTCATAATGAAAAGTACCTTGAAATTTAAGCTCAAAGTAGCAGAAATGTTCAATTTTTACCAAATTTCGAAAGTAAACAAATCATGCCATGCATCCAATACACGTCAACTGGTGAGTCTAATATTCTTTCAAAAGTGCACTGATATTATTTATACCATTTCTACACCATTTCTACACTAATGTAGTAGTCTCCGTAACAGTAAATCTTCTATTTTTTGTGAGAATAAAAATTCAAAGTGGAAAGCAAAAGAGATGTAAGAAGGGCCTGGGGACATGACTAACGAACAGAGAAAATGTTATTTTAGTGCCAGGAATGTGTCTGTCTTGCTTATTCTGGACCCTATTGGAAATTGGCAAAATTGCCAATTTCTGACCACTTTATTGGATACTTGAAATCGGTAAATGGATGGCTTCTTGTACTCATTCGATAGAAAAAATGGAATTCTAGCAAAATAGACATGATTTTTGTCGACTAGTACAATGAAATTGGCCGAAAATAGGGCTCTAAGTGGCCGAAATCGCTGATGCATAAACATCGTCGAGACCGTTAACTTCGTGAGAGAATAATTCCGTAAGTTTTCCATCAAATTTCACACTTTTGGTGTCATTATGATCAGGAAAAGATTCTCTATCACTTCACAAGAAAAATTTTTTTTTTTCTGAAAAATTTTCGACCCTGAGAATGAGTTTAGGAGAGGGCCTCTTGACCCTGAAAGGGCTAACATAGTGACATAAATAAATTGGCTGATTATGCCAAAATAGGCCATCTAATTCATTTTAATGAAGACATTAGAGCACTCCAGGATGATCTGAATAGACTGATGTAATGGTCGGAAAAGTGGCAGATGTAGTTTATTACAGACAAATGCAAAGTTCTAAATGTTGGACAGGAAAATAACCATGCCATATATAAAATAATGTAGATCTTAATACTCCTGACTGAAAAAGGATTTAGGAGTTCTGGTTAGCAGTAATTTAAAACCAAGACAACAGTGCACTAGCATTTGCAATAAAGCTAACATAATCCTTAGCTTCATATGAAGAAGTAAAAATGATACAAGTCCTCAGGTTGTTCTTCAACTCTATATATCCTTGGTTAGGCCTCACTTAGATTATGCTGCACAGTTCTGGTCACCGTATTACAAAATGGATACAAATGCACTGGAAAACGTATAGAGGATGACAAAAATGATCCCATGTATCAGAAATCCTATGAGGATACACTAAAAGCCCTGAATCTGCACTCTAAAAGGCATAGAATTAGGGGATATATGATTAAGGTGTATAAATGGAAAACAGGAATAAATAAAAGGAATGTAAATAGTGCGCTGAAAATTGCCTGCCAAGACAGGACTCACAGCAAAGATTTCAAGCTAGAAAAATTCAGATTCAGGAAGGATATAAGAAAGCACTGGTTTGATAAGAGAGTTGTGGATGAGTGGAACAAACTCCCGAGTACTGTTATAGGAGCGAAAACGTTGTGTAGTTTTAAAAATAGGTTAGATAAATACATGAGTGGGTGTGGGTGAGTGTGAGTTGGACCTGACTAGCTTGTGCTACTAGGTCTGATGCCATGCTCCTTAAGTGGAAGTGACCTGACTAGGTTGGTCATTGGTCTAAGCCAGGGGGTGACAAGGACCTGCTTCACATGGGTCAGAAGGCCTGCTGCAGTGTTTCTTCTTTCTTATGTAACTAAAAAGTGTCAAGGCCTGACACAAGCAGTGTTTACATGGTCTATGTTTTGACCCCTTACCCACCATTGTCATACTACAAACCTGAGGAAACCTTACATAATGTCAATACTGCATTGTTTCATTTTAAAATAAAATTTACATAGACAAAATGTGCTGGTCAGCTGCATCAGAAACAAAGTTTATTGGTTACAGAATTGTCAATGATTGTATGTTAACAACAAAACAATAGTCTATCTGCCACAATCACCAACTACTTGCTCTCTTCCTATTTTTCAGACTCTATTAAGAATACACTAATTACCTTAGTAATGTCTGACTCACGCTGCCTGATGGCCTCCAGCTTGGAAGGGTCATTCACTAATACTTGAATTCCAAGTTTCATCTTCTCCTTGTTGAGCGAGAAGTCCAGACAAGCAATCTTGGCATTTACCATTTTCTTCACCATAGCTGATAAAGAAATATATATTAACGAGTACTATTTAGTGTACAGAAGAATCTTGAAGTACTACAACAATTGCAATAACAATACACAAATTAGTTACATTATCTAGAAGTAGTGTGACATAAGTCACCATATTACAGAATGAACAGGATATCCAAACTTGCATGATGCATATTCATTGTGCTCGTGTAAGGCTCCTGATTTGTACCTACAGAAGGGTAGCCAGATTGTAATGATGCCTAGTCTCCAATAGACAAGTTGTGTAGTTTCTTAAAAAAAAAAGAAAGCTCGACTCTCATCCCAGTAGTTAATCAACATTTATGAAGAAAAATACTCTATGTACTACACTTTTTGCACCCCCGCCCCATTGTTTTTAGTTTGCAATTGTGGCTTAGGTTTTTTCTACTGATGGTGCCAAGTCTTCCCTATATATATTTTCTCATATCCAGTATCCATACACTGCATGTGGTTGTCCACCTTCCTCTCTACAATTCACATTTCCCAATTTTGGAGCTATAATGAAGTATCTCCAAATTTTTTTTTTAAGACACCTAAACACAGCTGCTTATTGTATTTCTGGTCTGGTGTAAGTGGAGGGGAGGCAGGGCAGGGGTATTCCTAGAAAAGAATGGCAGGAGGGGGTGAAAGAGGGTTTGTGTGCAAGGGGATTAGATATAAAGCAGGCATGTGTGAATGGCATAAAGTAGGAGTTGTCACAGTTGCTCTTTGCTGATGACACTGTGCTCTTGGGTGATTCTGAAGAGAAGTTGCAGAGGTTGGTGGATGAATTTGGTAGGGTATGTAAAAGAAGAAAATTGAAAGTGAATACAGGAAAGAGTAAGGTTATGAGGATAACAAAAAGATTAGGTGATGAAAGATTGGATATCAGATTGGAGGGAGAGAGTATGGAGGAGGTGAATGTATTCAGATATTTGGGAGTGGACATGTCAGTGGATGGGTCTATGAAAGATGAGGTGAATCACAGAATTGATGAGGGAAAAAGGGTGAGCGGTGCACTTAGGAGCCTGTGGAGACAAAGAACTTTGTCCTTGGAAGCAGAGGGGAATGTATGAGAGAATAGTTTTACCAACGCTCTTATATGGGTGTGAAGCATGGGTGATGAATGTTGCAGCGAGAAGGCTGGAGGCAGTGGAGATGTCATGTCTGAGAGCAATGTGTGGTGTGAATATAATGCAGAGAATTCGTAGTTTGGAAGTTAGGAGGAGGTGCGGGATTGCCAAAACTGTTGTCCAGAGGGCTGAGGAAGGGTTGTTGAGGTGGTTCGGACATGTAGAGAGAATGGAGCGAAACAGAATGACTTCAAGAGTGTATCAGTCTGTAGTGGAAGGAAGGCAGGGTAGGGGTCGGCCTAGGAAAGGTTGGAGGGGGGGGGTAAAGGAGGTTTTGTGTGCGAGGGGCTTGGACTTCCAGCGGGCATGCGTAGGGTGTTTGATAGGAGTGAATGGAGACAAATGGTTTTTAATACTTGACGTGCTGTTGGAGTAAGAGCAAAGTAACATTTATGAAGGGATTCAGGGAAACCGGCAGGCCGGACTTGGTCTGGAGATGGGAAGTACAGTGCCTGCAACTCGGGAAAGGGCGTTAATGTTGCAGTTTAAAAGCACCCTTCTGGCAAGACAGTGATGGAGTGAATGATGATGAAAGTTTTTCTTTTTCGGGCCACCCTGCCTTGGTGGGAATTGGCCAGTGTGTTAATAAAAAAAAAAAAATTGTGTGAATGTGTTAGATAGGAGTGAATGGAGACAAATGGTTTTTAGGACTTGACGTCCCTGTTGGATGTGAGCAAGGTAACATTTATGGAGGGATTCAGGGAAACTGGCAGGCCGGATTAGAGTCCTGGAGATGGGAAGTACGTACAGTGTTTGCACTCAAAAGGAGGGGTGTTAATGTTATGTTTTATAACTGTTAGAGTAAGTGCCTCTGGCAAGACAGTGATGGAGTGAAAGATGAAAGTTTTTCTTTTTGGGCCACCCTGCCTTGGTGGAGATGGCGATGTGTTAATAAAAAAAAAAAAAAAAAAACACTTTACACATCGGGGCTTTTTCTATTTTCTTATACTTCTTGCTCTTCTTTATTCCGCTTATCTCCAAGGGAGAGTGTAGCAGAATTCTTCCTCAGTAAGTCATATGTATTGTAAGAGGAGACTAAAAACGCTGGAGCAAGAGGCTAGTAACCCCTTCTGTATAAATTACTAAATTTAAAAACTCATGCATTCTGTTTAGGTCACCCTTCCTCGTGGAATACGGCCAGTTTGTCAGAAAAAAAAACGCAGTATATGAAAGCCAGTGCAAAGTTTGCCATTAATAAAACAAACTTTTTACTATTACATCACCATATGTTTTTTTGTAGTGACTATACATTTTAGCTCACAAAATTGTAATAACACAACTGCAAACAAACCATGGAATGGGTGGGGTTTAAAGATTTCACTTGCGTGGGATCAAACCTCACTCGTTCTGTGTGTTTAATCATACATTTTAATCACCATAAAAACCTTTTCTAACCTAAGATTTAAGATTTTGATCACCTTTCTCCCAATTCCATTACCTAACACACCATTAAATTCCATTCTCCCCCCCAAATGCGATTCTAGTAATTTTCATTTATTCTGAATACAATTTGTTTCAGTTACAAAATAAAAACATCTTTCTTCTCATGGAGAAAAGGCTAAAAAACTCATTAACAAGTATTATTTAAAAATAACCTTAAAATACAAACTGGTGATTTAGGTATAGAAGTCTTCTTCTCTATATGGCATTATTAAATGTGTACAACAAACGATGTTACTAACCATGTGATGCACTGTGCAATTCAGTGCATAACCATTGACAATGATGGACTCTGTTGCTGAACGTCCATGAGCTTTCAAAACATTGACAGCCTTGATTGGATACTTGAATCCACCCTTGCCATCAGAGGTACGTACTGCCAAAGCAGCATCTACTACCATGTTCGCAAAGAAATCACTGTCAATGGAGATCACCTAGAGAAAAAAAAGATATCTTTAGGGAATAAATCTTTTAAAGTTGCTGTGCAGCCTCCAATTACTGATATTATAAGACTGTACATACAGCATTACTGAGCCAGTAATACATACCAAGACACAAAACCCTGGAATTCTTAGATGCTGTGAATACAGGTACTGGAAGTTTGAATTATGGCAAACTAAGTAATGAATGACAAACTTTTAAAAACTAAGTAATGAAGGATATATAGGAACTAAGATTATAAACAAATGTATTATCAGCATGTCAGCATGGTGAGACTGGTTGAGTATGCCTATCACTGCCCTTTATAAGCTGTATAGCCTGCATATGCATTTCATATCTAAAAGTAAAATAAGGGCAGAGGGGATGTGGAGAGGAGAAAAAAAATGAAGAAAAGAATAGAAAAGAGAAAGAAAAGGGAGAAAGACAAATAGAAAGCATGTGCGAATGAGTGAGGAGCAAGTACGTGTGTCCGTGAGAGAGAGTGCCATGTATCTTGAGCTTCATGATCTGAATCATCAGATCTGTGATTGCGGGAAGGTTATTTTAGGAGAGTTTAACAAATACAATAAGCAAATAACTTTACATAGTACTATATTGTATTACTACCAATTTTTTACATCTTTACCACATTTAGGCATAAACTAAAGCTACAGTTTAAGGGCCTCGCAGTCTGAAGGAGCCTCTCAAAATTTCAGAATTTATTTTTCATTTGCTTGCCTTCATCTGCCTCTGAACCTATAACTGATAAATTTCTTATATTATCAGTTATATTTCTTTATAAAATTTAACACAAGATTTAACATGCTAGTTTATCTTTTGAGGACATCATTCAACTTTTCATTTAAAAATAAAATAAAGAAAATAGGGTAAACTGACCAATTTCTTATGTTTTATTGTTAATCATGTTACAGTTTTCAAATTAATCTTATTTTCCGGAAATTAGAAATCTACAACAATATTATACTCCTAAATAATTAATTTTCTCATTATCTGTAAACTGAATAATTAATGGCATATTTTTGGAGTTCTTATGGAGTGACCCTCCCACACTGGAATGGATTTGTTATGCATCTAGGCAAAATTCTTGCAATGTTTGTTACATAGCATTATTCTCTGCTAAGTAACACTTGCAACTAGGGCCTTGCCACAACTAAATCTGGCCCCTGATAGCATTATATTAGTAATAGGAAAATATTTACATTATTTCAACAACAGATGCAAGAAAGTGCAGGAAAATACAGCCTCTCCTTACTTAGCAACGTACTTGTTTACTGCCAGCTCGGACTTACGGCAGGCTCTTTGACCAGTATGCATACCTAAATGTATATTAGAGCTGATTTCCTCTATTCTGTTTATTACAATAAAGTGGTACCTTGACTTACAAGCTTAATTCATTCCATGATCGAGCTCACAACTCAATCTGCTCGTATATTAAATCAATTTTCCTCACTGAAATTAACTGAAATACAATTAATCCGTTCCAGTGGAATTCCTGGCTCTCAGGAGGCAGGAGAAAATTCTTCAATATAATGTAAAAACTCTACAGCTTATCTATCACAATTAATCTAATATGACATAATAAACAATATAAATAACATAGAAACCATGATATATATGTACTCTAGAATGAATAAAATATGTCATTATGTGACAAGTGGTGGCAGCCACTCCCAAGATAAAAATAATTATCGCTCTGATCATATCTTCCCATCCTCGCCCTTCTGAGGTCTTATTGTAGGAAAGAAAAAAAAAAAAAAAAAAAAAAAAAAAAAAAAACCACGGAGTGTTTGTGAGGCTAACTGCACTAGATCACTAGTTTCAAAGGAAAACACTGAAACAAAAAAAATTTTTTCTGGTTTTTCTACGATTTCAGTTTTAAATTTCAATGGACATCTCTTCACCCCTCTTTCAGAAACTGTTTTTTGGCACTTACTTTCTTGGGGCCCCAAGGGTTTTAAGAAAAAAAAAAATTTGGAAAAAAAAACTTACAAAAAGCACAAAAACATGGGATGCTGGGCAATGTTTGTGGTGTTCGCGGGCGTCAATTTGTGGTTTGGCGTATCTAAAGCTCGCCCCTTTTAACTGGGGATTTTGGGTCGAATTAAAAGAAAAAAATTCAACCAAGCGACGGCTTGAAACCCCGGAAAAAAATCGTACGTTGGAGCTCTTTAAGTAAAGGGTTTTCCCACTGATACATTTAATATTGTATAAAATTTAAAAATATACCGAAATGTTAAAAAGGGTTGCAAAGGTGACATAAAAAAAAACCAAAGGGGGTTGGGACACAAACCCACACCATTTTTAGTTGCCCCTCACTTAGGGGATGAATTCGTTTACTGATGGGGATCTTAGGAAGGGAAAAAATTCCGTCTTTAAAAGTGAGGCGGGGCTGTTAATGACTAAAAAAATTTGGCTTTTAAAAAGGCAGCCCTTAATTTTGCAAGCATAACAATGTTTTTTTAATAGTTCCCGGGAAAAACCCTTGGGTTAAACATGGATTCCCGACCCAGCAGAAACAATGCTTTCCCTTTGGCCAATGTCATCTGTATTGATGGAGGATTTTTTCGGGATATATCGACATGCTTCTTTTAAAAAGGGAAAAATTTTTGTTTAACTTTCCCCCTTTTTGGGGGTAAACCGGGGCCCCCTCAAAACCTTGTTCTCAGGGTTCCCAAAAAATTCAAAAAAAAAAAAAAAAAAAAAAAAAAAAAAAAAAAAAAAAAAAAAAAAAAAAAAAAATCTTTGAAAAGAAAAAAAGAAGCTTTCCCCCCGCCCCAAAATTGTCACCAAAAGTTAAAAAATTTGATAGAAATGTTATTGTATTTGAGGGAAATGTTTTTTGGGCCCAGGAATGTCTTTCTTGTTTATTCTGGACCCTTTTTTGGAAATTTTGGGTTTTTTTTGAAAAATTTTTGGAAAAAATTTGGGAAAATTGCCCAAATTTGACCACTGTATTGGATAGTTTTAAATTTAGTAAAAAGGGTGGGTTTTTTGTACCATTTGATAGAAAAAATGGAGGGTTTTAGCGAAAAAAGTTTTTGATTTTTGTCAACTAGTACACTTGGGGGTTAGCCCAAAATTTGGGCTCAAAATGGGCAAAATCGCCCCCCAACAAACGGACCCCTAACTTTACGAGGGGGCATTTTCCCAAGGGTTTTTCCCTCAAATTTTTACACTTTTTGGTTTTCATTTATGTTTGGGAAAAATTCTCTTTCTTTCCATGAGAAATTTTTTTTTTTTTTTTAAATTTGGCGGGCCCCGGCCCTCGGAAGGGGCCCCCGGCAACCCTGAAAGGGTTTTAAATGCCAAGATGGTCATGTGTGGCCTGATTAGGTGACCACAATTTGAAGGACATGTGATGGAAGATTAAGTTAGCTTGAGCTATGTCTAAGGGTACATAATAAGGCTAACAAACTACTTGGATTTACAGCAAGAAGTATAAGTAACAAAGAGCACAAAGGTTCTTCTACAGTTCAGTTTCCCCCCCCCCCCACAGTTCATTTTTTTTTATATCATATATACAAAGAGGTATGGGGTACATTTAAGAATGTAGTGTTAGTGTGTTCAGCAGAAGTGTATATTCTTAGTGCCCAGTTGTCCTTTGAAGATAAATGAATGACTGTGAAAGATGAATTTCAAAATTTTGTAGCTTCCATCAGCAATATAATACACCCCTTTCCTCCATTAATTTTGACCTGCAATTGAGGATCTTAAATGCAGGTTAAATATTCAATTTGTTCTAATAATTTTTAACACACAAAAATGAACAATATTAGATATAAACACGACAAAATTTATGGAGGCAGGCCTATTTCAGGCAATGTTACAAAAGTAGAGGTATATGTACTTGCAAGCCAGCTTGTAGCCAGCAATGATGGAGGTGGGATGGATCTTCTGTTTCACCAGGTCATCAGCAGATTTCAGCAATTCTGCAGCAATGATGACTACACTAGTTGTGCCATCACCAACCTAAATGACAAAACACACACAAGAATTATTTGTGCACTGCCAAGTCAATAAATTTATGTACTAGAATATATGATATGCAAAGTTGACTATGATAAAGATCATAGAGAAATTTAAGAAATTTGATTCAGTTTACAGAGAAAAATCAACCTCAAAAACTAATAACTTTTTAAGTTTGCAATCTTAAGTATTTTTTTTCTTTTTTAAAACAGGCCATTTGCCACTGCAGTAGGGTGACAATATCACTTAATCCTTCTTGCCAATGATATGCCAAGGCTATAGATCAGATACCCCTCCAAACTGCAAATATCTCCACCCCTCCTGTGTGCAGGCACTGTACTTCCCACCTCCAGTCTGGCAAACCGGTTTCCTTAAATCCCTTCATAAATGTCACTTGCTCACACTTCAACATCATGCTCACACATGCCTGTTAGATGTTCAAGGTACTTATGAATTTATTATTTTTAATATTTTACTAACAAGCTGGGTCCTGAATACTACAATTCCAAGGGATTTGTGGGAACAAATATTAAAATCAATATGCTAAAAACAAAACTATTGGGGATATTAGATCTTGTCTTGCATGCTTCATTACTACTATAAATAAAAGCATTAAATGGCTAGCATGTTTCTCAGGACTGATAGAATATTAAACCTTCGCAAAGGTTAAGCAACTGCCAGAAACCACTTCTTGGTAGACTATATATACACATGTGCTAGTAAAGTATCTTTCAATTTCATTAGAACTTGTATAATAAAATTATTGCTTTAAACAAAATTACTATACAGTGGACCCTCGGTTATCAGCCATAATCCGTTCCAGGTTGGCTGAAAACTGAAATGGCCAAAAACCAAAATAATATTTCATATAAGAATTAATGTAAATAAAATTAATCTGTTCCAGAAAAAAAAAATAACAATTATATAAATATTACATACCTTTATTGAAGGCTAATGCTGGCTTCTGGAAGATAGGGAGGAGGAAAGAGGGAGGAGTTAGTGTTTGGAAGGGAAATCCCCTCCATAAAGACTTTAGGTAGCAAAGCCTTCTCTGGGGTTACTTTCCTTGTTTGTCTTTTAATGCCACTAGGACCAGCTTGAGAGTCACTAGACCTGTCTCACAAAATAACTGTTCAGAGTGCTCTGTTTCAGGTGTCTCTAAGATTTCCCTGAAGTGGGACAGGGTTTTGTCACTAAACATGTTGCAGATATGACTCGTTTCAGTTTTGTCAGGGTGGTACTTCTTGACAAAACTTTGCACATCTTTCAACTTTGCACAAATGTTCTTAATCAATGAAGAAGGCACCTCCTTCACTCCCTTTTCCTCCTCCTCTGAAGCAAGTTCCTCAGCTGCAGTCTGTTGCTGTTCAAGTTAAAGCTCTTGCAGCTACTCAGTGGTTAGCTCTTCCGTGTGGTCCTCCAACTCTTCCACATCCTCGCCACTCACCTCTAACCCCAGGGACTTCCCCAGTGCCACAATAGAGTCCACAGGGTTCGCAAGGTCAGGGTCAGCCTCAAACTCTTCAAAATCCCTCTCTTGGACACAATTGGCCACATTTTTCTCCAATAGAGTTCAAAGCCCGGGAAGTCACTCCCCCCAAGCCTTCCCTATAATATTTTATGCAATGGAGGAAGTGAGGTTCCCCCAGAACCTTTCGAGTAAAACTGAGTGTCCGAGGTCACTTAAAAGCATTTTGAAACACTGCTTTTTGTGTGTTTTTTTTTTGAATTTAAAAAAATAACCTGCTGCCCCATGGGCTGGAAAAGGAGTGGTGTTAGGGGGCAAGAACTTCCTTTTATAAAATTGAAGCCCTAACATTTGGGTTTTCCAATTTGGGAGGATGTGCAGGAGCACGCCATACCACGGGGCACTTGAGGGGCAATTTTTTTTCCCCAGGGGGTTTTTTTTTCACACCTGGGCCAAAACACATTTTAAACCCAATTTTTGAAAATTTCCCCTGTGATCGTGCCTTATGATTAAGTTTTCCCAATCACAAATCTATTCTTCATGACATTGTTTTTCTCAAAAACTCTGGTTTTGAGTGATACACGAGTAAGGCTTTATTTTGAAATCCCCCCACTACATTAACCACAAACAAAAAGTAAGCCTGTCTTTCATGGCTTGTGTCCTGGCAGTGCCCTTTCTCCTGGGTAATGGGGTCCTTTTTGGGGATTTTTTTTCCAAAAACGGGGCCTGTTTTGTCATAAGAACCTGTTGGGGGTTTGAACCCTTTCAGCCTTATGTCCCCGGGAAATTCCTGCATGAATTTTTCAGCAGCATATCTGTCAGAACTTTGCATCCCTCACCCTTTAAACACTGTGTTGCCACTACCTTCTTAAATCTATAAAAAACCACCCTTTGGGGGCCCTAAATTCACAAACTGCAGCACTTTTTCCCAGGCATTTTTTTGCAGGATCCTCATGAACTCCTTCCCTTCTCACAATCACCAACTCCACAACACTTTTCCCCCACTAATTTTTTTTCCCTTTAATCCACAAAAAAATTTTTTTTTCCCCTTTTCCCATTTTGGTGGCCTTTGTTTAGTTACAAAAGTTCTCCTTTTGCAACATTAGCATCCTTATTTGTTTTTTTCTTTGCAGGGATGAATTGTTGTTTTATTTTTTTGTGTACTCGGCAAGTTCTAAACCCTCATACCACTCTAAATTTTTATCATTTTGCTTAAATTCCTGGTGTGTCTCATTTTTTTTCTGCAGGAATTTCTTTGGACCCATGGTTACTTATTTCCAGTTCACTGCAAAAAATAATAAAAAATACAATGGGAAATAAGAAAAATGTTTGGTGTATGACAAAGCTTCCTCACCACCGGCGAACCCAAAAACTGATCCCCAAGCGGCCCAGCCGGGGGTGGCGGCCCAAAAAGGGGGAAATACCGGGCGCGAAAAACGGCCAATCCCCGATTTGGCCGATAAAGAATGGTGATAACCGGGGCCAATGTATTTACTTTAGTAAGATTGAGGTTTTAAAAACCAAATTTTAAAAAAAAATAAATGAGGGGGTTTCTGTCTTTCTTAAACACACTGGCTGTATCCCACCGGACGGGGGGCCCCAAAAGGAAAAACGAAATTTTTTCCCTTTTTAATTTAGTAATTATACAAAAAGGGGTACACCCCCTTGCCCCTGGCATTTTAGTTCCCTCTTAAAACAGCATGGCTTACGGGGGAAGTTTTCTTTTCCCACTTCCCCATGGAGGTAAGAGGAAAAAAACAAGAACTAGAAAGAAAAAAAAGAAAACCCAAAGAGGGTGTATATGTATATCTTGTCATGTTGTGTGTGGACCTAAGTGTAAGTGAAGTGCAAGACGTACCAAAATTTTGCATGTGTATTGGGTTTATCTGGAGAGATTTTCCGGGGGTCAAGCCCCGGGGCCCGGGGTCTGTGACCGGCTCCTTAGGTCATGTCCCGGGATGCGACCCACACCAGTCGCTAACACCCAGGTACCCATTTTACTGATGGGGAACATAGCAAACAGGGGGGAAAGAAACACGTCCAAGTTTCTACTCTGGCTGGGAATCGAACCCAGGCCCTACCGTGTGAAGCGAGAGCGTTAACCACCAGGGCCCCCAAGCCCCGAAACCCGCAATCCTACCATCTGTAAAAAAAATTACAGGCTTCGTTTTACACCACCGGAGGATGGAGTACCTCCCGGGGGGTTTCTGTCTACCAACCTAACCTAGTAAATGAGGGATTTTAGGTAATAATTCCCAAAGGGGGTCAATTTTTTTTTTACCACATAGGCCCCATTCCCCGAGAGCAGGTGGCACGAAAAAGAAAAAATTTCATCATATTCCCCCCATCAGTCTTGCCCGAGGGGTGCTTTTCACTAAGTTTTAAAAAAAGGGAACTAAACCCCCCCTTTTAGAGTGCAGGGATGTATTCCCCTTCCCCGGACTCAAGTCCAGGCCCGCCGGTTTCCCGAATCCCCTTTATAAAGTTACTTTTCTCACACTCCCAAAAGCACGTCAAGTATTAAAAACCATTTGTCCCATTCCTCCTATCAAAAACGCTTGTGACGCTTTCGGAAGTCCAACCCCCTTTCCCCAAAAACCTCCTTTACCCCCTCCCCCCAAACCCCTTTCCCGGGTCAACCCCCTACCCCCACCTTCCCTCCCCTACAGATTTATACATTCTCGAAGTCATTTGTTTTGTTTCATTTTCTCTAATTTTCCAAAAACCCCTCAACAACCCCTTAGCCCGGATAAAAGTTTTGGTAAAACCCACCCCTTTCCTAATTTCCGAACTATGAATTCTTGCATTATATTCACACCACACATTCCCCAGACATGAAATTTCCTGCCTCCAGCCTTCTCCTCTTGCAACATTCATCACCCCTGTTCACACCTACACAACAGGTTGGTACCCCCTGTACTTCTACATTCCCCTTTTGTTCCACGGACAAAGTTCTTTGTTCCACAGACTCCTTTAAGTGCACCACCCCCCTTTTCCCCTCATCAATTTTATTTTACCCCCTCCTTCATAGACCCCCTAATATATCTAATAGTTTTTTTGTGACCCTGTTTCCCCTTTCCTAGTTTACAAAACAGCAAAAGACTGCAGAAAACCTATTGAAATACTCCTTTATTCTTACAAGTGGCCACTGGTTTTTTAGTATATCAATAAGTTTTGTTTTTAAAATTTTTCCCATCCAGTTTTCCTTTCCTGTAGGTTAAAATTTAAAACCAAACTCCCCAACTGAATTTTTTTTTAAAGGATAACAGTAAAAATTTACCTTTAAAGACATTAAAAAAAATGGGCTAAACCCCTTCATCTTTTAACTGTGCCCCAAATCCCCAAGACACGGCTGCCCGGGTTTTTCAACCCCTAACAATTTCAAAATAGTTGCTCCATCATTGGGGACTGTCACATCCTGTACTGGTACATATATACATAGGTGAGGTCGAGTATGTGTCAATGAAAAGAGATTCAAAGTGAATTATGCTTTTTCTTTGACAGATATGCAGTAAACTAGAATATGGGGGAAACTAATGCCAATCGGTAGTCCTCAGAGAGGGCTGAATATTTTTGTGCTATCCCTGCAAGTAGTCTCAACTTTATGGAATACATGATTTTAAGTAATTTTGACTTTTTACAAGATGAACATAAAAATTATGTTAAACCTTTAAACCACTGGCTTAGTAAACTTCTACTTCATACTTTAATATTTTTTTTAAACAAAAAATTGTATATGCTGAATTTCAAAATTACTAGTCCATTTATTAAATGTTAACTCCCGTTTTAGTCCCCCCCCAAAAAGTGTGCTAATAAGAGGCTTAAATATATTTTAAATGCAGATTAGCAATTTTCAAAATTATAGCACCCGTATTTTTGGAAATAAAAAATTTTTACTTTAAAATAATAGATTTTGTTCTATAATTTTAGGCTATAATCATTACTTAATAAAAACCCAGAAAAAAATTACATAATGATTATTACTACTTACCCAACATCATCGACAATCTTTTGTCAGTCCCCCGGACCCCGAGAGCTTTGACAATGTTGGAACAGAGTGGCAGCAATAATAAAGGGAAAAATAAAAAAAAAAATTTTTTTGGGCTTGTCAAAAAATATAATTTTTTTTGGTCCAAAACCTTGCAAAAAGGATAATAAGTACAGCCTCTCCTCACTTAGTGGCTACCGTTTTACCGAAACTTGGATTCGTCAGCCTTGAAATATGCATATAAAATAAATTTTATTAGAGTGATTTTCCCCTTTTTCTGTTTTTTTACAACATAAAAGTACCACTCTAGAGAGAAAAACTAACGTCAAAGACCTGGGAGTGATCATGTTGGAGGATCTCACCTTCAAGGACCATAACACTGTATCAATCGCATCTGCTAGAAAAATGACAGGATGGATAATGAGAACCTTCAAAACTAGGGATGCCAAGCCCATGATGACACTCTTCAGGTCGCTTGTTCTATCTAGGCTGGAATATTGCTGCACACTAACAGCACCTTTCAAGGCAGGTGAAATTACTGACCTAGAAAATGTACAGAGAACCTTCACAGCACGCATAACGGAGATAAAACACCTCAATTACTGGGAGCGGTTGAAGTTCCTGAACCTGTACTCCCTGGAATGCAGGCATGAGAGATACATGATTATATACACCTGGAAAATCCTAGAGGGACTAGTACCGAACTTGCCCACGAAAATCACTCTCTATGAAAGCAGAAGACTTGGCAGACGATGCAACATCCCCCCATGAAAAGCAGTGGTGTCACTAGCACGGTAAGAGACAACACAATAAGTGTCAGGGGCCCAAGACTGTTCAACTGCCTCCCAGCATACATAAGGGGGATTACCAATAGACCCCTGGCTGTCTTCAAGCAGGCACTGGAGAAGCACCTAAAGTCGGTACCTGACCAGCCGGGCTGTGGCTCGTACGTTGGATTGCGTGCAGCCAGCAGCAACAGCCTGGTTGATCAGACTCTGATCCACCACGAGGCCTGGTCACAGACTGGGCCGCGGGGGCGTTGACCCCTGGAACTCTCTCTCCAGGTAAACTCCGGGTACTGTATAAACATTTAAAAAGATACTACCCTTATAGTATGCTCCTCACTTAGTGGTCTCAGGAACGAAACTCTATCATTAAGTGAGGAGAGGCTGTATTAATACTATTCAGAAAAGAGCACAACTCATATGGATCATAATGCACTAACAATTTAAACATGTTTAAGGACATTAAATCACACCAGTATAAACTACAGTTAAGGACAACTATTAATTTTTCTTCACTTACCCAAAAAATATATGGAATGAGCATGTCTGAGGTACAGTGGAAATAATGAGTGCTGAGTCACTACTTTTCAAATCAGGATCAGATAGCGGGTTCAGTAACTTTTAAAAACAAATATAACCACAAGTTATCCATCATCATAATTTAGTTTAAATTGGATCAGATTAGTACTATTTGCCAATAGTTTCATTAAATTTATATATGTATATTGTAATAATAATAATATTAATTTTTGCATGTACAAGGTATGTGGGCCTAGCTGACATCAGTGACATACTATATAGAAAGCTCCTTGTTATGCAGACCATTTTGGTCAAATTAGGTCAATTTTGTCCCCAGGATGAGACCCACACCAGGCGACTAACACCCAAGTACCTATTTTACTGACAGGTGAACATGGACAGCAGGTGCCCTATGGAAACACATCTTATTGTTTCCACCCATACCAGAGACTGACCCCCAGACTTCAGTGTGAGAGCTGAGTGCACTAGCAACTAAGCTATGGCACACCTAATTTCTCAATACAGGTAATCCTCACTTAATGACCTACCTGTTTAACGACAGCTCGGACTTACAACCAGCTTTCCAACCAATATGCAAACCTAAGTAATGTATATTAGAGCTGATTTTCTCTATTCTGTTTATTACAGTATACAGTACACTACTGTATAAACATTTAAAATATTCTAAAAATGTTATATATGGTGCAAAGGTGACATTAAAACAATATCTAAAGACGGTTGACACAAACCCACTACCAGTACAGCATGCTCCTCGCTTAACAACTACTTTGCTTACCGACCTATCAAGAGTAGGTCGGTAACTGGAACTTGGTGATTAATAAGTGAGGAGTACCTGTAGTAGGAAACTACTGGAGACTTCTGACCAATCGACAACTTGGGAATGTTATCGAGATCACTTTCATTTGAAATAATGACATTTCTGTCATGACTATAGAAGAAGGGTGTTAGTTTTGTGACCTGTCTTATAACAATGAATTCTACATGGCAGCAGATAAGACACATTTCGGCACTTTGGCACTTTGGGGGAGGAAATGCACTTAGGCTTAGGTTAGAATGGCTACTTACATTCAGCAGCATTATGTCTGCCATACCATTGCATGTCAGCAGATACATCTTTGATGACAATAGTACAATCTACCATAATGTATATAATTGAGCTTTATTTACAGAATTAAGTAGCCACGTAGTTGCAAGAAATTGACACAGCACAAAGCACACCAAGGTACAACTAACATACCCCGTAAATATGTAATATGTATATTGTATATAATTACACAAAAAATTATTTATATACGTACAAGTAACTGGGGTCCAAAAAAATAGTCAATATTTTAACTCTTATTTTTATATTAAATTATTAAATTAAACTGCTAAACTATTTTGGATATTTTATCAAACACTAAAATTTTACTTACAGTAAACAAGAAGCACTTTGGGTATTATATTCACAAGAAAACATTAAACCCAAATGAGTCATACAGCTCACTCTAGGTATGACCTATCAAACTTTTTTTTTACAATCAGTGGTAGTGTAGTCAGCTACAAAGCCAAATGCATCCTGGGTCAAATTCTGGGTGAGGGAAGATGTATGGGCAAGCCTAACACCAGCTAGGATTTAGTGCTTTCTGTAATAAATGAATATTGGTCCTCTGTATTTTGGCAATAATTATAATTTAAAGACTTCCAACATTAAGTGGGTCCTGTCATGTAGATAGTTTTATGTTGTGCAATTGGGAACACCCAACCAAACCAAGCATTACTCAACGTGATATACCCTAACTTACTCTATTAACGGAAGAAATGGAACTGGGCTGTGATTAACTCGAATACTGACTGTCGATGGGCCATGATGCAGCATTCGAGCCAAAATAAAGGTATTAATTTTGTTAATATCTCCCAAATGTTATAATCTACACCAGTAATAACTATTTTGTAATATAAAATGGTTGCAATAGTCTTAAAATATACGTTGCTGGAGAAATGGTGTAGTGATACCGACAAGACGTGAAAAAGACACAAGCATACAGTTCAGGACATTTATTAAAGGAAATGTTTCTTCTGTCCTATTAGGACTGATGAAGTCACTGAACTGTACACTAAGTGTCTTTTTGCACATATACAATAATACCAGAGTTCAGTTAAGGACCAATATTTAATAATAGCCTTGCTTTCTTGCAAGTATAAAAGCTAAGACCTACCCCCATCATAACTAGCAGTAAATAGACATTCAGAAGTTAGGAGACATTCCCTAGACCAAACTTGCACGTTAATAAATAAGCATTTAAATAAAATTACTAGTTTAATATTCCTAGTTTTCATTATAATTTCATTTATGAAGGAAGCGCTAAACCCACAGGGGTTATGCAGTGCCTTGAAAAATTAAATACTATATATGAACAAAGCACATAATTACAAATACAGTATATAGTTACAAAGGGAAAGCAATCAAGATTCGATCCAAATGGAGGATAGTTCCAATTTCTTGGATCAAGAGCCCTTCATTAATATCAAGCCATACCCCTTGAGGGGATAAATGCATTTACAAGTGTACAGTAATGATAAATTATAAAGATTTAACCTGGTATAACCCGTGTTAATAATGGCAGCTACTATGACTACAGAGGTACCAGACTTACCATTCTCCGTCCTTACAGACGTGCCAGAGGTCCTCTTCCCCTGGATGCTTAACACAGAGTCTGCCGTCATTTTGTATATTAATTCCTGGCTTGTTTTGACAACGTGGTGTGTATGTGGTGATGCCGGGGCACTGGTAGCCACACTGTGAGTCACGAGGAATTACATCCTCTATCCTGGGACACTCAGAGAGGATCCTGCATGCTTATAAGGAGGATCAACCGACCTCAAGGAGGATCCCGCTCCCTCACCCTCTCCTTTCTCGACTCTTCTCGAACCTCAACAACAAATGTCAAATTTGTAGTCAATATCTCTTTATTTTTGCCATGTACATTATTAGTTTTAAGTGTAGATAGTGGCAGGGAGTGAGAGAGGTATAGAATATAGCAGTGGTCGCCATGGAGTGCATCAAAGGATGTATTACACTGGTTATAATAATAATTTTCGCGGGTACGGTCTTCATAGAAAACATGAGTAAATTTCTAAAACAAAGAAAACAGAGCATTTTGCGGATAAACTATAAATTTATTAATCCTTCAGAAGGGTGGAGCCTGTGAAAAATATTCCGATTATTAAACGGGAAGGTTAATAACCCAGGATAACCCAGTAAGCCACTATGTCTGGTTTACTTCCATAGGTGTCCTTGAATCCCCTTTCTCAGGGTGCGACCCACTACAGTCTGTTAACATCCAGTCGGCTAACAGCATAAATAAAGTGGAAGATGATTTTGTTCGGATTATTAACCCGGGGGTTAGTAACCCAGGATAACCCAATAAATCCATGTTGTGAGACTATCTGGTTCATTTCCATTGCAAACCTTTAATCCCTATCCCTAGGATGCGACCCACACCAGTCGGATAACACCCGGGTACCCATTTATTGCTAGACGAACAGGGGCAACAGATGTAGGTAACATGCCCGACGCTTCATCCAGGGATTGAACCCCGCTACCAAATGAGCCACGAATGCCGATAACTAATAGTAGGACCCCAATGGAAATAAATCACTTTGACTTTTTGGGTTATCCTGGGTAATTTATACATATGTTACTATGTATGATAATTGTATTCACGCGTGCCTGTACCTAAATAAACTCTTTATTACCCGCTAATGGAAGTAGGTTACGCCCATAAGATGGGCCAGATGTAAGTAAAGGAGTTGTAGACGATATTATCTGTACCAAGATTTCATGGAGTTTGTGTCAGACAAGTATCAATCGATCACTTGTATACAATACCGACAAGTTGACGAATAACCAGAAAACTCATTCTTCCTACAAGGCACACTGCAGGGTATATCAAACCCACCCTTTCCAACAGCAACACATGTTATGATAACATATTATTCAGATTTTTAACCCGGGGGGGGGGGGGGAGGTAGTCCCCATGACAATCTAATAAAGTCGTTGCATCACTACGGACTGTCTGTTTTATTTCTATTGGTGTCCATGAATTTTGTCCCCAGGATGCGACCTACTACTACACCAATCGACTAACACCCAGGTACTTACTGCTCGGTGAACAGGGGCGGCAGGTATAATGAAATGCCTGACGTTTCCTCCCGTGCCGGGAATCGAACCACTGACACTCAGTATGGGAGCTGAGTGCGCTATCAATACGTTTAGCAGCCGCCCATATCACAGTAACACAGGTGTATAAATCATACCATGCGGTAGCCGTGACCAGAAATATGTGGGACAGATCTACCACAACTTACAAAACAGGTTGCAAGAATACCAACATGTGTACAAGACCTAAAAACATAACATGCCTCCATTGTACAAAGGGTCAAGATCGCACACCAGACGTACCATACCCCGGCCGGGATTGAACATGACGATTTCGTGAGTCATGTTGACGGCAGTGAAGGGACTTGAGCTAGAGTTCGTCACGGCCACGCTAGCTGGAGATTCGTCTGTAAAAACTTGCATTTGTGGTCACAGTGGTGCCTGTGCTAACCTTCCTATGGTGTAGAAATACTACCTAGTTGGACGAATCTTATTGTGGCTAGCTGGTCTAGTGGCTAACGCGACGGGCTGGAGTTTTAAGACTATCTGACCGCGGGTTCAATCCCGGCCGGGGTATGGTTTGTTTGCGATCGTGTCATTACGATTTCGTGAGACACCAGACGTCCTGGAAAGAGCCCATCTGGTCATCAAGGAAAGGGGCAAAACACAAGACAGATGCCTCTGTACACAAAACGCAATCAAACATAATCAAGAAGCTTTCAGTTTAGCCATAACTTTAGCTTAATTTTCTCCTGCATAAACAAATCATCGATAAGACCGGTAGTCCTCTTGCAGTGACCCCCTTTTTCATACTCCTACGTCCTGACCTCACTGATCGGGCTACTCACCTGACTACGCAAGCTCCCCAGTCATACCTCGACGTTACATCAATGCACTCAAAGGTTTAGCAGAAGACATGACCATCAGGGTCACCACCGCTGATAAAGGAGGTGGTGTTGTTATCATGAACACTGACGATTACAGAAACAAAATGCTCAATCTACTTAATGACCCAGATACCTACAAACCTCTCACAACTAACCAAGTGGACAACCTTACTAAAACTTTTCTTCAAAGGACTCGCCGCATTCTGAGGGGCTCAGAACAAGGGAAGAAACTTCTGCACACCATGCCCAGCAACCCCAGACCTGCCAGAATGTATGGCCTGCCAAAAACTCACAAGCCTGGTATCCCACTGAGGCCCATATCCTCGGGAATAGGCAGTGCTCCCCACCAGCTCTCAGGAATTCTCGCAAAACACCTCTCTAAACTCTTGGGCACTATCAGTCCAGCACATCTCAAACACTCGGGTGATCTTCTCAATCGTATTCGCAACATCAACATCAGGAACAAGAAACTTTCCAGCCTTGACGTGACTTCCCTATTCACCAAAGTACCTACTACACAAGCCATCGATCTCTTGCGCAGGAAAATTGACGATTCACTTGATCTTCCCATTCCAGCCAGCGATTTCATCGACCTTGATGAACTATGTGTTGGCTTCACGTGTTTCTCTTTTGAAAATCACCTCTTTCAGCAGACTTTTGGACTACCCATGGGTTCGCCACTCAGTGCGGTCCTGGCGAACCTATACATGGAACATCTAGAAGCCGAACGTTTCTCCACCATTATTCCTTCGTCTGTCACCTGGCTCCGTTATGTTGACGACATTCTCCTCATAACTCCTAAACGCTTCAACGTTCAAGCTCTCCAAGACAAGCTCAACCAGGTCGAGCCTTCAATCCAGTTCACACTTGAAGAAGAAGTCGACAACACTCTTCCTTTCCTTGATGTTCTGCTCTGCAAAGCTGACCACGAACTTCGTTTTAAAGTCTATCGAAAACCCACCAACCAAAACGATCTTCTCCACTTCTACTCTCACCACGACACCAAAACCAAACGTGGTGTAATTATAGGCTTCTTCCTGCGTGCACTCAGAATCTGCAGCAATGAGTTCCTTGAGGAAGAATGCACTATAATTGAACAAGTATTTTCTAAACTCCACTATCCTCGTCACTTCATCAGAGACTGCAGACGGCGGGCATTAAACATCTTCAACACACCCAGAGAAGACACTGCCGAGAAGAGATACATAGTCCTCCCCACCAACTCCATTGCCAAACATGTTTCCAACATCTTTTCCAATACATCATTCCAAGTATCTACCTCCACAACCACGACCATCAAGGACATCACCAGTAGTAGACAGGACAAGCCTCCATCCTCTGCAGGGGTATACATAATCCCTTGTAATGACTGCAACAAATTATATGTGGGCGAAACATCAAGAGACCTCCAAACACGTATTTCAGAACATCAATATGCAAGCAGGACTGACGATACAAGGAATGCCTGTGGACAACATCGCAATTTACACAACCATTTAATTAACTACAGAAACTCAAGACTTATCGCCACAGAAGACAACACTCAATACCGAAGAATCCTGGAATCATCGCTTATCTCTATAACCAACAATTTCAACCAGAACAACGGCTTCTATAACATAGCTGAACCACTCGCCAAGAAATTTCTTCATCGTTATCCCACTTAAGAACATAGAACACTGCAGAAGGTCTACTCACAACTTGTCCAATACCCCTGCCAAGCTACCGAAGACTCTATAACCCCAAACGGTAGATCATCAGATGCAGCATTCTCCACCTGACCTCAACATTCTGAACATGACTATAAATACTCCCATACCTTCCACCTCAGGTAGATCTGTGTGTGACTTGAAAAAGCCCACTGTGTGGGTGAAAGGTTGTCAATAATGGATCACATTATACTGCATATGTGTTTATATTTCCACTGTGTCGGTATTTTATACCATTTATTTCCATTATGGGTTTATATGGGAGTAAAGGTCCTGAGGAGACTTGACCACTTTACCTGGAGTAAAGTCTCTATCCTGACACTCACCAACAGTATCGTGAAACGATGAAGCATCACAGTGCCATAAACACTTGTCAGTAACAAGACTCAACCCACGTGGAGACAGGAAAAAGAGTATTGTATATTTTAAGCTCGACCTCTTCTGCTGAAGAGGACCTCAGATCGAGATTGAAATATACAAAGCTACGTTTTTGTTTTTTGTCTACACATGGGTTTACATCTATCGTGGTATATGGTTGAGCCAGAGGAGGGCCTATCATGATATATGTATGTAAGTTTGGGTCAGAGGCAACATCGAAATCACCTAAGACGTAGGTATTAGCTTTCTGGGCACCATCAATAACGGAGGCTTTTTTTTTTTTCAAAATATTTATTATTGATGTTTTTCTCCCCCTCTGTCTGTCTGTAGGTTAGTTATTTTTTACAGCTGAATTATGCACCCCATACCCAGCCTGTGGCCAATAGTCAAAAAAAGATTGCATAGGGACATAATGGGTCTAGAGACTGGGCACCCACATTTTGTACTCTGCTCATTAAGCAAGTTATACTTACTGTGAGTAGTTTACAGAAGACGAAGTTAGAGTAGATAGGAAGAAAAAGATGCAGAAGAAACATTCATTGTGACAAAATTTCACTCTGTGTAGAGGTCCTTCAAGGGAGGGTCCTAGATGTTGGTGAGCGGCTCTTTATCAAAGGAATTGGACTTGTCCTTCCCTTTGT